CCGCCACTGATTGTGAGGAACTTCAAGGTTTGATGTGTGAACTCATCTCCATCTCCATGTGCTCAAGCTCCTTGTTGGATCTACCCTTGTTTGTGCTTGAGCTCCTTTATTCTCTGTCTTTTCTCCATTTGGCTCCAATGTGTCGTCCTTTATCCTTGCCTTCAGAGGTTGCGCGCTCTAGAATATGCCATTTCTACTAATTTGCAGAATAATCAGCATAAGTAGTGTCGATTCTATTATTTGTTACAGTCGAAAGATGATTAGTGTTGGGTTTCCATTAAAACCTTGGAGGGCAGCAGTCATTTCATTTGAATATGTGAAATGGACGCACACACGCATAGAAACCAAAAAAGAAAATACGAGGTGGCGAGGTGTGTGTGTTGTGGGGGGGGGGGGGGTGGGGGGGGGGGGGGAGGGGAACAGTGCGTTGCAATGTCTGAATTGACTAGAATGCCATATTCACGATATCTATCTTTTTATTTTTTTACTTATTTAATATGAGAATGTTCAAGTTTTCTCTACTATGGCGTGAATAGTATATATAATATATGAAGATTTTAAACAAGCTATCCACCAGAGTGTATGTCATCCTCCGAAATCTAAAAGTTCAATGGATAGTGACTTGGAGGGTTGTAAGTATACGCATAAACTGGCTGGTCTTGTTTCACTATAAGAATAGCAGAAATTTTGATACAAGTTAGTCTCACAATCTAAAGGTTCAAAGTTTTGTTCGGCTCTGTTTAGAAATCCTTCTTTGATGCTATAACTGGGTTATTTGATATATCACGAAGGAGCAACATTAGCACACAATAATAAGTTTATACCATAATTTATTTGAGCATGTAGTAAGCAAAGAATTGATTTTTTTTGTTTTTGTTTTTTTGTTTTTTTTTTGGGGGGGTGGGGGGGGGTGGGGGAGGGGATCAGAGAGCCAACTATTTCGTGAAGTGGATGGTTAAACGTAATATCTTCAGAACTTATCGTAGCTTTATCTCCAGGTAGCACCAAACTCGCATAAATACCATGTCGTAGATGGGTTATGTTTTGAGTCAGGTTTGTGTTTACGGTCCATCAGTACAGTATTCCAAGCTATAAGGTCAAATGGAGCGCTCACTGAAGCCATTTCTGAATATGCAAGTAACTTATCATTCTTATTATGTAAACATTGTTAGCATGAATTGAACTTAGTCTTGCTTACTTAGATCAGTGAAAAAAAATTTCTTTAAATCAGTAACTTTGTTCATTTTGACTACTAGAGGTTTATTACCTACCATTTCTTATGACATTAACAAGATGATCTCTGTCTTCCTCTCTATTTCTTTTCTACAGACCACGAGGCGAACCGTCCCCTTTCTTTTTGTTAGAGGAGATGGTGTTATCCTTGTTTCTCCACCACTAAGGACAGCATGATTGTTCCTAGGCGTGTCATAGCTAACAAGGATTTGGATGTATCTTGTACTGACTGGTTATTTATCTATCTTTTCGGAAAACATTTGAATTATTTCTTTAGGGTCTCACTGTAACCTGTGCTTCTATGATGAAGTATTATCTACCTTTAACCCTAATATTTGAAGGGGTTATTATTGCTTTTTCTTTTTTTTCTTTCTTTTTTTTTTGCTACAATTTGGTAATGTGAGATTAATTGCAAGTGAATTCTTTTTGTCTGAAAAAAGCCAAATTGTTTACTTCTTACTGTTATGATGTTGGCAAAATTCTTACTGTGTTTCAAGTTTGAGTATTCTAAGCAATAGAAAGGGTTCACCATCAATTTTTGCAGCAGTTCCAAGTTGTAGTGTTCTCCTTTTGAAATTGTGAAAGCCCAAAAAGAACGTAGGATGGTTGTTTACCATTTGTATGTGAAGTTGAAGATCACAATAAAGTCGACCAAAAACTCTTTTATTTGCTAATAATCTTTCTTGCTTTGACATGAGCTCATCTCATGTATTTTCCTTCTTTACCCTTCCAATTTTTATCTTAAAAAATTCGATTATCTCTGACAAAGAAGAAATTAATCTCTTCGTACTGTTTCCAAAGACAAGTTACAAGCCAAGCCATAACTGGTGGAGCTTGTTTCTGCATTGCTGTTGTCTCGATTCTTGTTTGAGAAGATTTGCGTTTCCTTGTCGGCTGGAAATTCTGGCATCAAAGCTCATTTTCAGTTCTCTCCAACACAAAAATGTTGCCTTTGTCATCTCTCCCAATCCTCAAGGAGTCGTCAACATATCTATTTCTGTTCTTAAGAAAAACAAATAAAGAGCTTTATGAGAATATAATTAGTTATTTCTCCAAACTATTTTATTAGTACTTATGCAAGATGATGTTAGTTGTTTCAAGTTAGGTCGAGATATTGCATGGGAATCACGTGATAATAGATTACATTTTCTCTCAGTTTAAGGGGGAAAATAGTAGATTATAAGTGTTAATAAAAAAAGTTTAGAGGGGGCATAAGTGGCTACACTGCCGTAACATAAAGAACATACGTGCAATTAGCCCTATTATGTGATGGTAAATTCTTAAATTAGACAGCATCAGCAAGGATACGTTATATCAAGCCAACCCTCTGGATTGAAAATAGCCAGGAGAAGATCGTAGTTCTGTTTGAACAGGTTCATCAGCTGCGTTGTCCTCAAGCAGTGTTACTAATGGAGATAATTTTACGTAATACATATAAACTGTTGTCATTGAAGTAGATGATTTTACCTGATCTGGAGTAATGGTTGATTTTTCTAGCTTGATACCAACTCTCTGCAATGCCGGGCAAATTTTACGCCATCCAGTTAAGAAAGTAAAACTGAACTGAAATTACAAGTCTGAAAACATTTCTACACGATAAAATCCAAATATAATTATAATTTTTAACTGCTATTTAACTATTAGATACAGAAATGTTTGGACAGTGGCTTGTATTCTCTGCTAGTTAGATAATAGAGTAAGAGGGCCGGTGTGTCAATCCACATTTTTGATTGCTTTATCACATCAACGATATAGATTGTTAATATATTCAGATCATGCTGATGGTCTTGATGGATTATGGATGTCACATCAGCAATATACCAATCAAAAACATGGACACGTCTCTCTCTATTTACTCTAGAATTGCTCTCGGGCGGAGCAAATTATTATAACGATGAATTAAAAATTTCTCACCGTTTTAGATGTGATCTTATAAGATGCCTCTATGGTGAGCTGCCCATTGAGCATCTTCAATCCTGTCACATTGAACTTGATCACATTGAAAGCTTTCTCCTGTACAATTAAATACCAAGGGAGATCTTGATGATGAAATTGTAAGCAAAATCTTTAATCTCAAAATAATATTGAGATGAATTCTTCACCTTAGAGACATCAATCTTTTGAAAGAAATCTCCAAGCGCAATGAAATCACGCAATCCAAGCTTTGTTCTCTTTACTCCAAGTATAGAAATCGTGCTGTAAACCAGCTTCCAACAGCCGTCAACCTTCCATTATTCCTCACGGTCAGTATAAGCAAACCAAACATCTAAATCGAGTTTTTGTTCTAATTATGATCATTGCTTATGTTATAATTTGAAATTGTAGCATTAAATTCTCATCATAAATTCGAAATTTTTGGTCTAGTGGAAGAGCCTTTCATATTATATTGGAGAAACTCATGCTCAAATTTACTTGTAAAATAGTATTTACAAAAATGTAGTGGTCTAATTTGGCATTTTACCCTAAAAAAAGACATGTTAGAGTATACAATTATAACTCTCTCAACCCTGGTCACAACTTCCAAGTTTGGTATATGTAGTTGAAGAGACTCTACCAACTTAAAAGCAAACAGGTATTTGCTTAATTGCTACGATTCTTGCCCTGAAGTAGAAATTAATTATGCTAAATGTAGAACTAAACTATCATTGAAGACTACGGTAATTTCATTATCTATAGCAAGAAAATGAACATTACCTTATCCAAGAGGTTATCTGTAGGGTGTGGTGTAGGATTTCTGGACTCCAGCAACTCCACAAGCTCCAGTATCCCAGATTTCTTTGCAGAAGTAACCCCAAATATCCCTCTATTGAGCCCTTAACCAAATACAAATCCTCAGCGTAAATGCTCTCGACGAAAACGATCAAAATCACAGTTATCTCTAACCTCTGCTTATGCTTACCTTCAACTGCCTGATAAAGAGCTGATTTTATCTCTTCGGTGGACTTGTACTCACCCATCGTTCCAGCACCCACTGCTTTAATAATGGGGGTTTTCTTGATCATCAGACGGACGGCTGGGATCGACCCGAGTGGTCTCGATGGTTTCGGCAGGTAATGGCAACGGAACGCTGGCAGGAGAACCAGTGAAGCCATTGGGTCCTGAACATAGAAGAGAGTATTAGGTTAGAGAGAGCAGCAGCAGCAGCAGCAGCAGCAAATAGTTCGTAAAGGAAACATAATATATATAAGTTTGGAGACTATACCAGATCAGAAATACAACGGAGGGACACAAGAATTCAATAGGATTGGCTCCCATCAATAATTGGGTGCGATCAGAGCCCACCAAATTTAATAAACATAGGTAGGTATCTTATGAGTTGCAGAGATAACGTGCCGGAGATTTGAGGCCACTTGTTTATTTTTGTACTTAGTTTGGGGTGACCCGACGTATTCTAAGCCTGTCCCGGTCTTTAATTCATAAAAACCAAAGTTAGAACAATATTGGCATGGTGAGTGGCTCAGTTCACAAAAGTAAAAAAAAAAAAAAAAAAAAAAAAACTGCAACCGATCGCACGTAATTTTTTCCGGAAAATTCTTCTTTTACAATTACAATTACAAAAATTACCGTGTGATCCAAATAAAATACTGCACGATCCAATTACTCCTCAAGTAGAACAATGCCCAGAACTGGAGCTGGTAGCTAAAAGGGCTTTGAGCTAAATCCTAACTTCCATAATACATAAGACCTCTTTGCATGATAGAAGGTAAACCCGTTGAATCCATAGTTCAACTGCAGAGAAAATACATTGTTACTTGATGGGCTACAGGCAGTGAGCATAAGGCAGCAGCTTTGAGAATGACTTGACCTGACAAGAGTACAGACTCCTTGTGATAGCAAGTGATTCTTATAGAACAATCTGATTTGTCTCAGCTCCTTGTGGCCTCAGTAAACATGGAAAAATTGGTTTGAGAGGCTGCATCCAACAGTCTAGAACACCTTAGAGGAGGAATCAAGATTTTTTTGCTTCCCGCAACAACTTTTAATTGGCATTTAGATAGTTTCATTCGCATGCAAAAGGCGTTTTACCTTCAAACAAGAAACGCCATCATGAAAGACATTTCAAGAGCAGGAGGGATTGATATTTCCTGAAACAAAAAAATATAAAGCGGGTCAGAATTTCATAATCAACACGCAGCAGCAGCAACAACAAGAAGCCTTTGTCCCAAATATTTGGGACCAGTTACATGAATCCTATTCAGCTATGTGTACTTTCATCTCCTTTGTTAAGTTAACAATTACTGTGTCTTTCTTGCTTGTTTCCAACCAACATCTCTTAGATCTACGGATCTACCTCTCGTTCTCCTTGATCCATTAATTACAACCATGTTATCTCTCTTAACTAGCGCATTTCATGGCCTCAGCGACTTTAATATGTTAAGTACGTAACAGAGCAGAATACTGTTTACAAAAATATTCCGCCAAGAGAGACGCTGTACTATTAGTAATGCCGGAGAATTCAGCCAAAGGGGAAAAAGAGTTCTGTCCTCAAAGACTTATTTTCCTGATTTTGAAAGAGTAAATAAAAATCAAAGCAAAATATTCAAACTTAGCATGACATCCCACTAAAGTTTTACAGGGATGGAATGATTTCATCACTACCAGGACAATGGTAGATTGACATCCTAAACTAGCAGCTAGTTCGAGTTAAAATAATCTCTCCTACTTGATTTACTACAATTACAGAAACCTTCTTTAAACTTCAACCCAACACTCTACCAAAGCTACTTTGAGCTCTATCCTCAAATGACTGAAAATCCATGGAATTTTCAGATAAATGTTTCTTACATGTTCGTTATCAAAATTTATACAAGAGAATTACCTCTGGACATTAAGCATGCCCTTTGCCTTACTTTGCTCCTCCAATAACACATCCTAGAATACTTACTAAACATTTCCATCTCCTTCTTCACCAATTTACCATCTTCTGAATCTCCTTATCATCAGGCGATCGAACATGAACACAAATTCATCTTTCTTTTCTTTCTCCTTCTCCCTCTCTAGCCTCCTCTACCACATCTGAAAGCGCTAGGTGGGCTGCGCGTTGGACCCAACAACTAGAGCGTAGGGGGGGTTAGGCATTTTCCTATTGTTTAGTTTTTAATTACAATTACTGATAGTAAATGCTAATGCTAATGTTATAGAAAGTTTAGGCGCTAGACTGACACCTAGACAAATTTATTAAGTGGTGGTGGAGAAGGTTTTGCTGAAGGTCGGGAGAGATAGAGAGGTGCTCATAGTTGGAGTTTAGAGGAAGCTAGAGGACGTTAAGGCCGCACTGGAGGAAATCATGACCAATGTCTAAAGGACGCAGTCCATGTAGGCAGACCATGCTCCCTGCACACTATCAAAACCTAGGTGCGCAGCCTAGGTACCGCCTAGGCGCTAGGTAGGCGGCCAAGATAAACATGGAAGCTTTTTAAAACATTGCCCCTCATACAAAATCTCCTCAACCAGGAACCCCACACTTATTACTTGGCCATTCTTAACTACTTTTCTTAGCTTTTCTCCTTATCGTCCATCTTCTTCCATTCATCTACAGCTCTCTTCCTCAATTTTGCCTTAGCTGGCCCCTCCAATTTCTCCAAGATCCCATCTTCATCATCTCTATACCCACTATGACTTGCATCGATACACTATGTAGATATCACATATGGATCTTTTTTTCTTGAGCTCAGGAGATTTCTTAAAGAGTTCTTTGACAGCTGGTAGTTTTTTTTTTTTTTGCATGCTCCAAAGTAATGGTAACCTGCATTTTCAGAGTATTTATCAGTTTAACAGGGAAGAAACTCATAAAATAGTTCTTCATTGACAAATTCATTTATGGACAACTCAACAGTTTGCAGATGTCCAAAGAATATTTATTACGTGTAAGAACTTTAACAAGCACTTATAATCTTGAAACACAAAGTAGTATTTAATATCATCTAAACTGTGTAGCGTACTCCCCCACAATGTTGGCTAGTGTGATGGTAACGTGATACACATCCAAGCCGACTGTTGTAGTCTTGACGATGATTTGAACTTTACTACTAAGTAACTTGAATATGTGTCAAGTCAGCACCACAACTGGCAGCACTATGGAGAGAAATACCGGTCCCCTTTTACCTCAAATACTTATTTCCTAGACTAGCAAATCCTAGACAGTACCATTTTTCCATGCATATTTCCATCGGTAACTTCAATCCTACCAAGTTTCGAACTTCATTATTACAAATGTTAATGTTGTTACTATACTGCTGTGGGGGCGAAGTTTGGCTTTTTAGTTGAATTTACTTCATCATTCATTCCTAATATGAACATGAACATATATAAAAGTTGCATGAATAATGAGTAGAAATCTACCTATTTCAACTTAACAATCAAAATTATTTCAAGTAAACAAATATGGAGTAATTCAACCAAAATCAAGCTATACAAATGTTAAAATATAAAATTATCACCCTCAATCCTCATCACAACATTGAAGTTGTTTGGCGCAGAAGAAGAAGAGGAATACTGGTGCTAGTGTAATTGAATGAATATTATATGGATGCATCATACAGGCTATATAACGTATACTTGTGCTATTGCTATGTTCATTATGTTTTCAGCTCAAGAAACAAAAGCTAAAGCAACTACAAATATGATAAAACTTCAAACAAATTTTTGGGTTCATACCTAACTCCATATCTTCACGGGTTTTCGTCAAATAGAACTTTGTAAAACCTCTTCCTCTCCTCCCTCTTCTTCTCTCTCTCACCTTCATCCTCCTCCTCCTCCTCCTCCTCTCTCTTCACTCTCACTTTAACCTCGCCTCTCTTCCTCTTCTTCTCCAAATTCACCGCACACCTCCTACGATTATACTCATGAAGCCCCTCTTGCATTAACTCCCCAAACTTATCCTTCACGACAACCATCTCATCCTTCTCCACGAGCTCCGATCCCTTATACCCTTCTCTCAACACCACCGTATAAATCTTATACCGATTCGATACATAAAAAATACACGGGTGCCTCAACAACAAACAATTCAATCTCTCTGGCAATCCAAACTCTCTCCTAAAATGCTCCAACTTCAAAATCGAAGCTTTCTTCCAAAGAGTCAAAGAAAGCAACTCATGAACCATTCCAACCGCTCTCTTCTCCTCCAAACCCACATCAAAATTCGCACAATTTTTCACGTATGGCGAAATATAAGGAGTTCCCGTATTGAAATGTTCGAATTTCTCTAGAGTCTTGATCCAGGATTCAGGAAGCGAGCACGAAAACCGAGGCTCGAATCCTCGTTCAGCTGCTTTCATTTCCACCGCTGAGACGGCGAGGTCTTGATCCCATTTCAGGAGCTCGATCTCCATCGAGCTCCGTCTACCCGAACAATTCAAAACCCTAAACGTATCCTCATACCTCGGAACGATCCTCAGCAAGTAATCCTCGCAAAACCCGAAACTCTTCTTCAACTCATTCAACTTCACCACACTAAGCCTCTGATCCTTCGACAGCATCAACAGCTTGGCCCAGCTCCTCGGCGCATTTAACCGGCTGCCGTTGACGCTCTAACCTCCTCCTCCTCCTCAACCAGCGCCTTCATCCGCTTCGAGAGCTCGAAGAAGACCTCGCCGTTACGATCAGTGAAGGTCTGAAAGCAGCAAGGGTACTTGTTCAGCCAGTTCAGGGCTTTACCTTGTAAATCTAGGGTTTTGAACTTCTTCTGGAGGGAACGGACGGTGGAGATTTGGTTTGGGGATCGGAGGAGGAGGTTCTTGATTTGGTTGTTGACGATCCAACGGCGGTTGCGGGTGAGGGCGGATTCGAGGGCGGGGTCCTTGGTCATGGACCAGAGAGCGAAGGTTCGACTGGGGGTTTTTCTAGGGTTAGGGTTTTGGGTTTGGGGGTTTCGGAGGAGAGAGAAGACGGTGGTTGTTCTTTTTGACGCCATGGAGGTCGAATTGAGAGCTCGCGTAGTTTTTTTTGAGAAAATTTGGGAATTTTATGGGTTAAAATTTCGCAAGGTGTTGAAACTTTGGATGGGTACTATTTGGTTAGGTTTAAACTCCCGGGTACCTAGTTAAAAATTGATGAGACTTTAGGGTATTAAAGTGCAATTAGCCTTTTTCATTCATGTATAAATCCTTTGAACGATTGCAGAAAACCCCGTTTAAGTATAGTAATTATCAGAAAACATCTCTTTAACTTTGAGATTGTATTAGAAAATCTTTTTTTAATTTTGAGATTTTATCAGAAAACTCCCCCATGAGTGATCCTTTTAGAGAGGTTTTCTGATAAAATATGCAAGTTAAAAGAGATTTTTCTGAAAACCTGGGTTTAGACACAAAGTCCTAGATTTTCAAGTCTTAAGTCCCAATCCCAAGCTCAACCAAACGCTGCCTTAGATAGTTCTCCTATGATCTAATTCCTAGCCCATTCGCCTGTGCAAGCCATAGATCACAGGCCTTGATTCATTGGTCCGTGTGGGGTTTAAGCACAATTTGACTGCACACAATGGGCTTCGATAATTGGTTGTCCAATTTTGAAGGACACATACAAATACAATGGGCTTCGATACTTCAATCAGGTGCAAGGGCGGATTTAGGTTCATGCATTGAGGTCACTCCCCAAAAATTTAGAAATTGCGTATGAGTACTTTGTAACATTTATAATAAGTTATAGCAAATTGAATTAACGCTTTTGAAATGTATCCAGTGTATTTCTGTTAGATACTATATTGTTATAATATTATACTTTTATTTTGTAATAAATAGGATGATTGTTATATGCTTGTGAAGAAAAAATTTCTTGATCCGGCAATCAAAAGGGAAATTTTTTAACATAGTCCTTTTTTGCTAAATATTTAGCAAAATAGACCACTTTGCTAAATATTTAGCAAAATAGACATCTTTTTGGCCTATTGGTCAAAAAGATGTCGATTTTGAAAAACAAGACTTAGAAAACATACGGGACTAGTAGTTACGTATGTTTAGAGTCAACTTAATCACGTATTAGTGACTCAGAAAACATACGGGACTACTAGTCCCGTATGTTTTCTGAGTTCATCTCGATGTTCTGAGAAATTTTCTGAGTTCACTAATCCGTGATTAAGTTAGCTCTAAACATATGAGACTAGTAGTCCCGTTTATTTTCTGAGTTGTTTTTCAAAATCAACCTCTTGTTGCCAAAAAGATGTCTATTTTGCTAATTATTTAGTAAAACGGTCTATTTTGCTAATTATTTAGCAAAAAAATATCTATTTTGCAAAATAAATCAAATTATCGTGACCTGTTTATATTATATATATATTATATATTATATTATATATAATATATAGTATATATATATATTTGGACATTTTACCCAAGCAACTCGCATGTTCGCGACCCAGACCCTGCCCAAAATACTGGAAAACCTGAAAGCACGTCTGCGGCACGATGTCGATTGGGCCCATAGTTTGTTCCTCTTCCCACTGGTCCGTAACCAGAATCCGAATCCTTAGTCAAATCAATGAAATTTAGAAGAAAAAATTAAACAAAATAAACAAATAATTAAGATAATAATAATAATAATAAGGAAGGACGAGGGATTGCATAACGCTTTCACATCCACCAACGCGTCACCTCCATGTGTTTATTCCCACCCGCCGGTGACCCAACCCCTGGTGTACGTTATATAAAGAGGGCGAGTTAAAAGCTCTCCCATTTGTGAAGGAATCAAACAGCAGAGTACCTCATTCGCTCACATTAGGGTTTCGATCGATCGATCGATCGCTTCAAGTAAGCTACTCTTCAATCTCTTCCATTGATTATCATGATATGATTTATCCTTGGATCAAGCGGATCTTTGTGTCTTTGGTATCAGGGATCTCAGATTTTTTTCCCCCCCTTAGGATTTGATTGGATATGTGAATCGTTCGCTTTTTTATTCTTTGAATTCATTCCGTTAGATTAGATGTATTTGTACATAGATGAAAGAAAAAGTTATGAGAAATCGCCACAAAAAAATTGCCTTTTTATTGGATAATCCTTCGATACAGGCGTTTTAGGTGAGGATTTGCGGGATAATCCATCGATACAGGCGTTTTAGGGTGAGAAATTGATTCCCAAATTCAATCAACGCTAATGGTGCTCTCCAATGGCTTGTCAACAACACAATGATGCTTAGTTTCTAATTTAAATCATAATAATAGGCATCGTTGCTGCGTTTGTAGGCGTTAGCATCAAAGTGGGTCAATTTTGGAGCTTAATTCTATTAACAAAGATTACAAGCAATGTGCTGCAGATGTGGGCCCTATAAAGCCGATATACTCCTCTGTACTGGTCATAAATACAACTGTGAATGGATCATTAATGTCATGAAAGTTGGGAGGTTTCAGATTCATCATAGATGTAGAAAATTAAAAAAAAAGAGTGAAAACATAGAAGAAACAGAATAGAATAATTAATAATAGGGAAGATAACAGGCACATGACTAATTAAGTGCGAGCCTTGCAATTTGTGACCAGTGGCAATTGTTTTATTAGTATATATTTAGTATAGTGCAAGTAGAAGATAGATAGATTGTGCTTGTTGAAAATGTCTTGCAGTGAACCTCTCCATTTTGTTTGCCATTTGAGACATTTAGTCTAATTTGTTTGTTTCCCCTTCTTCTGTTCGAAACTGATGCTTCTGTTAGTTTTGCCCAAATATATGAGTTCAATGAAGATCAGTCTATCGTTGACCAGTACAAGGATCATTTCCTTTTCCTTCTTTCCTTCAGAAACATGAGTGAAGCAAATGAGACAGGAAACTCAACTACTTCAGCTAGTGCTCATGCACAGAAACGTCCAGTCCCGAAGCTGAATGAAAGGATTCTGTCATCCTTGTCAAGGAGATCAGTTGCTGCGCATCCTTGGCATGATCTTGATATAGGTAGTTACCTTAATATCTATCAATAATAAGTCAGCACTTATTACGCATCTTAATGACTCCTCAAATTGTATAATGTTGTGTGCAGGTCCTGGAGCTCCTTCTGTTTTCAATGTTGTAAGTTCTTTTACCAACCACTGTCGCACTTAGTTAATTATGTACATTAATTTTGACATAACACACATTTTCTTTTACCAAATAACATTTGATAGCAATAAAAATGATATTCTTCGTGTAGCCGCAATGTTGCCTTACCTCTCTGCATCTAATGAGATTTTTTTTATGTCACTAATCTTATGACCAAAAAGAAGGGGTAGCATTGAAAAAATTATTTGGTCGACAGGCTACAGTCTATGGAATGAATATGATATTTCCCGTATTTTCACCTTTCATTTTCAAATTACAATTCCAGACTAGGTTGGTTAACTGGTTCTATCCATATGGCAGGTTGTGGAGATCTCAAAAGGAAGTAAAGTCAAGTATGAACTTGACAAAAAAACTGGACTGATCAAGGTTAGTGCAAAGTTTGAGATTATTTTGACTGACAAATGATTATAAGAGGAAATGATCGGCTTATTGGAAATTCCTATGGTCCATCTTCATTTTAAGATCTTGATGCTCAAAAGCTAGTTGATTTTTCAGTATTCATGGTGGTTATGCAAATTTGTCTATTTGGTAACAGGTCGATCGTGTCTTATATTCGTCAGTGGTCTATCCGCATAACTATGGTTTCATTCCCCGTACGCTTTGTGAAGATAATGACCCTATGGATGTTCTGGTCCTCATGCAGGTAATTATAAATTTTACAACTTTTTTCCCTTTGTTTCGAGTACAATAGAGACTTTTCTTGATGCTTCTTTATCTATTTTCTTGCTTTTAAGTTGTCTTTAAGACTAAACAGTTTCTTTTATATCTTTCTTCGTTTTAGTTTACTATGATTCATCATCTTAGACTTCTTCACGATGAGATTTGTTTCCGTATTTAGAAGGTTTAATAAAAGTAAATGAACAAGCTTTTACAATCATTTGTCAACTTAGTGCCTTGTCTTTAGGACTAAACAGTTTCTTTTATACTAGTTAGATTGCACGTGCAATGCATGTGGTCGAATATTATGATTATTTAAATTGATAAAAATTAAATAAAAATAAAAGAGAAAATAATTTTTTTTGTGGGATTGATTATCAACACAATAATCTCTCTTTCAAATGAAATATTGTCATTGTTTCATTCAACCGAGATTGTCGCCACGTGAGTTATAAACACATTGATCTAGTACAATCACGTGAGTTATAAACACATTGATCTAGTACAATATCTTTGTTTATTAGTATCTTAAAATTTTTAAAAGATGGGTGATCATTCAATTCGAAAATGAATTTTGCATAGGAATTTTTCTTGCAATATGTCCATTAAATTTTTAGTTGTAGTTCGACTCATATTCACATTAACTTTTAGTTGTGATTTCACTCATATTTACATAATCTAATATTCTCATTTAATTTTATAGCTCATTCTCCATAACATAGAAGTAAAACTGAAAGTATGAAGAATTATTTTTTTGTGAAATTAGAGCAGGGAGATTCTAATATATTTCGTCATGTACTTTAAATATAAAATAAAAATCTCTTTGATGTAAGGTCTCTATCAAATCTTACCCCAAACAATGTGAATGGAAAATGCTATTATAACTCACTTGCTTGGAGAAATTATATTGTATATAGGATATAACAGTAGTCTCGTGTATTTTCTGGTTCTGACTGCAAAATACGCAAGAGTGGTAGTCTTGTGTATTTTTTGACTTTAATTATTTTTGTAATTAATGTTCTCTAATTACACGGGACTATTAGTACCGTGTATTTTAAAGATGATTTTTATACAAAATCGACCTCTTTGTTTGCCAGTCTTGATGGTGTGGCAAAAAAAAAGATCAATTTTGTTAATTATTATGTAAAACAGTCGATTTTGCTAATATTTTTAAAAAGTGATCTTTTTTAAAATTTTCCTAAAATAGACTGTTAATTCAAAATATGAAATGGGCAAAAAGACCTAAACATTCTAGTGATTAATTGACCCATAAATAGAAAAAATAACAATTAAAATAAAAGTATATTTAAATTGAATCTAACAAGGCACTTCACAGAATGAAGTATGAAATGGATCCAAGAAATTATTAAAAAAGAATTAAAGAAACTAATTTAAAAAATATGAGATCGAGGGATAGAGGGAGAGAAGACCTCACCGACATGAATTTTATTTCTCTTCGAGCGTGACAACAAAATTGGTGGAGAATGAGCAAGGAGAAAAGTGAACAGAATAGGTGACAAAGTGGGCATGCTTATATAAATAGGTTAAGATATTCGTCCTGAAATCTTAAATACATACATGTCCCTAACATTTTTATAATTGCTCATTTACAATGATATTACTATTTAATATTAAATTAATTTTATTATATAAGATTATATACCATTTTTAATAAATTATAAAGTATATATATAAAAACCTCGATGTTTATAGCTAGTATTTGGGCTCCACAAAATAGGTTAACTTTACATTATAGTTTGCTATTGACAATACTATTGGCAATGTCATTACCTTTCCTTTTTATCTTATTATTCATAATTTTTTGATGTAAGTCCTTTTTTGCTAGTCACTTAATTGGCTATATTTTATTTTTATAATATCAAAAGTTAGAATATTCTTTTCTACTTAAAAAGTATTGACATGATTTTCTTAAAAAATATATACATATAGTAGCAATAGTATATATTTCAGTTCAACTCAAACATTGGCTTGAAACCATTTAGAATGAGGTCCTTTCTACGCTAGAATGGTAACATAGTGATTACATAATCCAAAAGTCAAAGAAAAAAATTCTATAAAAAAAGTAATTTAATAAGTCAAATTAACAACTAATTTATAAAATATACATGGGCGATGTAGAGAGCTATAGAAAATAAGGTATATATCTTCATAAAAATTTTATAGTGAGTAACCAACTATAATCATCCTAAGTTAAGCATAAATAATTATTATTTTAGTTACTAATTTGATACGTGTAACTATAAAATAAATCTCAAGCAAAAAATAGGAATTAAAATTGTATTACCTATAGGTAAATAAATAATATAATTTAAAAGTAATAATTTAAATTATTAAGTGCTAAATATTAGTTAACGCGAGAAAGTAAAGTAATCTATGGTTTATATACCTATATAGTCAATTGATTGAACGTATTAAAATTATAATGACCACAGTTAAAATTATATGATTGGTTCATATTAAATATAATTTATAAAAAATAGTACATTAAAGTTAAAAAACCTTTTAACCACTATATAGATTGTTAAAAAAAATTGCATGTATAAACTATACTGCCTAGGAATAGTGATGTGCACACTTAACTATAGTCTAATACATCTTAAGAACGACTTACTCTTTAATATCATTATTAATTGATGTATGATGTATCTATGCATTACACTAAAAACACAATGAAACTTTAGAAAACTATAAAAGAAATACCCTCAAAAGTTTTTAAAATTATAAAAACAAACACCCTCAATGAAACTTTAGAAAACTATAAAAGAAATACCCTCAAAAGTTTTTAAAATTATAAAAACAAACACCCTAAACTTTTATAATTTACAAATACAAAGAAATACCCTCAAAAGTTTTTAAAATTATAAAAACAAACACCCTAAACTTTTATAATTTACAAATACACAAAACTATTAAAAATTACATTAAAATTAAGAAACTACAAAAAATTATTAAAAAAATTTAAACTTTGGAGGGGTAATTTGTAATATACTAAACTTTAAGTTTGTTTTTTTTTAAATCTAATAGATTTTTAATTAGTTATGTTCTTTTTAAAAAAGTTATGGGTAATATTGACCATAAAAAGTTTTTCATGAACCTATACTTTTAAAGCGAAGTATGATATTTTTTTTATAATTTTTTTATTTTTTAGGGGTTGCTAGTAATTTTGTATATTTATTTTAGTGTCTATAGGTTAAAAATTCTCATGGTGTTTTTTATAAATTATGAATATTAGGGGTTTTTTGTAATTTTTAAACTTATAGGCCTTTTCTATAGATTGTAAATTGTTTATAAACTATTTATAATTTCTATATTTTTAATTTATTAATGAGTTTGAAATTCTTAGGATGTTTTTTATAAAATTTGAATTTTGAGTGTTTGTTTGTAATTTTTGAAACTTTAAAGGTTTTTTATATAAATTATAAATTATGCAAGGGATATTTGTAACTCCTATATTTACAATCTACTGTTAGGTTGGAAATTATCAGGATTTTTATAAATTTTACAATCTTGAGGGTTTTATCTTGCAATTTATAAAAAGTTTAGTGTTTATTGCAAATTTCATAAATTTTTGGGGGTTGTTTGTGTTATTTGTAGGTTTTTAGTGTGTTTATAGGTTTGAAAATTTTAAGGTGTTTTTTACAAATTTTAAATTTTAGGAGTGTTTTTGTATTTTTTAAAACTTACAAGATACTTTCTCCAATGTCAAAAACTTTCATTTTTTAGCTAGCATATATTTTTCAGATTTCTCACTAAATTAAAATAAGTAAAATTCATAATTTTTAAAATATTTTAATAAAATTTTGAATTTGTAGTGGTGTTTTTACAATTTAAAAACTTATATGGTATTTTTTGACAAGGTCCAAAAAATTTTAGGTGCTGGCTAGCATACATTTTTTTGATTTCTCTGTAAACTAAAATAAATAAAAGATTTAAATTATATCAAACATATCATATTTATCCAATAACATGTTAAGTCTCATTGTGGATAGGATAAATCATTTAATTATAAATTCAAAGAATATAGGAAAATTAGAATAGATTAGGATAACAATATAATATTTAAAAAAAGTTAAGGGTAATATTGACCATGGAAAGATTTTCCTCAACTCGTACTTTTAAAGAGAGTATGAAGTATGATATGATATGATCTTTCTTCGTTTTAGTTTATTATGATTCATCATCTTAGACTTCTTCACAATGAGATTAGTTTCCGTATTTAGCAGGTTTAATAAAAATAAATGAACAAGCTTTTACAATCATTTGTCAACTTAGTAACTCACTTCTAACTAACAGCCATATATTACTCGAAATCTCAAATTATTCACTCATCTCGGAATTGCTTATGAACCTTTGTACACAATTCTTCCCTCAAATGCTACTTGTTAGTAGCTCTTGAATTTAGGAACTATTATATACAGGAAAACTGATGTATGCTTATCAGTGGGAACAGGTTCTTTCATGGTTCAGAGTGTTCGACTGGTCAAAGGATTGTGTATGAAAATATGAAGTGTCTGACTCACATGCAGGATTATTTTAAGAAAGATGTTATATACTATTTGAGATATGCATGTAGTAGGAAAATAGTTGGCAGATTAAGTGTACGAACAACTATTGGACTTGCATAGTCATTAGTCACTATATTGTTAGATAGGATGTACGTGCAAAATTTTACTTGGGAGACATCTTCTCAAGAAAATGTTCTAGTTACAATTAATTGGTTAGTCTATGAAAATCATTATTTATAAAAAAATGCTTATAACACGTGGGACTATTCATATGTTGGAGTGTTATATATATTACTCATTTATAGGGTATGATGACCTCAGTATGATATTACTTCACCTCTAACCTAATGTTCTAGATTAACCTCTATTTATTCTGGACATGCCTTGAATATACTTAATAAGTAGAATCAACTACATTCCTGAATGTAGTGTCATTCTGATCTATGTAACACCTAGCTCCAAATAGCACTTAGTTCCACATACAGCTGATTGATTCTGATCTTTTATCCATTTGCAAGTCTCAAGCAATAACTTTCCTAGAAAGTCACCCCCTTTGAGTTCTTATACATAAGCACACCTAATTTTGAAGTTTCATTCACAATTCCTCCCTTAAAATGCTTGTTATAAGTTTTTGAGTTCAGGAAACTTATTATTTACCAAAGAACTTATTCCTTTGTACTTATCTCGTGTGGGACTGTTTATATTTGGAGTGTCACAATATTGTAGCCGACTCCATAAAGAAGTTAGTGATGACTATTATATGTTCTGATGATTTTCATATTTCACACTTAAACAGGAGCCAGTGCTCCCTGGTTGCTTTCTACGTGCCCGTGCTATTGGGCTTATGCCCATGATCGATCAGGTATGAAATATTTATTTTACTCAATAAAAGTGAATTCAAAATAATTATTTTACTGAACAAATATCTTGCACCAGGGGGAGAGAGATGATAAAATCATTGCAGTTTGTGCTGATGATCCTGAGTATCGCCACCTCAGAGACATTAAGGAGCTCTCTCCTCATCGCCTTATGGAGATCAAACGCTTCTTTGAAGATTGTATCCTTAATTACTAATCTCATTGAGATTGTATCTAGCTTTTCTAGTTACTAATGTTGAATATTCATTGCTCGCCATATGAACACTGGAATTCTTAATCGGTAACTCAGACAAGAAAAATGAGAACAAGGAAGTAGCTGTTGATGATTTTTTACCTGCCACAACTGCCATTGAAGCAATTCAATACTCCATGTAAGTGGTTTCTGACTCACCAATGTATACCATCGTAGAAGCTTCATTAAATTACCAAGTAAAACCAGCGCACAATTCAGCGACGCATATATCATATGTGATGTATAAAAGGGTTAATTGCAGATACACTGTTTGTATTACAATATTGTAGACACTTATGCTCCTAAACTATTTTTCAGCATGTACATCGCTTGAACCCCATATGCCAGTATTTCTCATGTTTCACTGAGATACCACGTTGTAATCATATGACAATAAATTACTTTTGCCTTCCATTTACCTGGAAAAACGGATTAAACTCCCGTCTTAACTTGAGAGCAAAAGAGTAACCCATCTTAGGTTCATGGGATTCAAGTGTTAATAAAATAGTTTAGGACGTATAGGTGCCTACAACATCATAGGACACGTCTTAGGTTCATGGGATTCAAGCGTTAATAAAATAGTTTAGGACGTATAGGTGCCTAAACCATCATAGGACAGGTAGTGCGTATGAATTATGAAATTAATCTTATATAAAACTTGCAAACATCTTTAATAGTTAGGCATATTGTTATGTTGAACTTTAGGGAAATCTCAGTAGTGGGTTCTTCTTGACACCAAGCCTTTTTATTAATACCCTAGTCCACAGGGTACTGCAAGTTGTACATGACTAATGTGATAAAGTTATTTTCAATTTTATAGCATAAGGGTCTAAATCTTGGTTTAAAATAAGCGTTTGTTATCAATGCCTTATATTCAACAACATATGTTTTAATCCTTTGAACCCTCTTTCTGATTATATTGTTTTGATGGGTTTTTGCAGGGATCTCTATGGCCAATACATCATGCAGAGCCTGAGGCAGTAGATTGGTGTTACTAGCTCTAAATAGCTTCTTCCCCAGCAATAATGGCATGAGAGCCGAACATGTTACTATTTTGTTCTAATTTTTTTCAAGGGTTTTGAATCTTGCTATTTAAATTTTCTGCGCCAGCTATATATTGATTGTCTTGTTTTAATTTGATTTTGAACTGTTTCAAAAGGAGTAATGTAGTCGTGAACGAACAAGTTTATCATGGATATTCTGATTCTATTTTGTGAAGGAAATTATATTCTTAAAGAGGTGTGATACGTTATGCTTCCATTTCCTGGTGCAGATGCCGATCAAATTCTCTTCCCTTAAGAAGAGCATATTGTGAAGCAGACCTCATATTCTCTTAGGCTGCGTTTGGGAACTTTGATTTGGATTTGAGAAGTTGATTTAAAATCAAGGGATTTTAAATTTAGGATTTGAAATCCATGATTTAAGAAATCTTTTGTTTGGATATCTTTATTAAATGAAAGGATTTGAAATCTTTGATTTCTAAATCTAATGTTTTGGTACTTTATTATACATGAATTTGAATTTAAAATTAATAAAAATTTATTCTCTTAACCTATCTTGTTTACATCAAATGTAATAAAGATGTGTAAAATAGTAACCGAAAAACACAAATTTAGGTAATTTTGGCGATGATAGCTACATTTGCTAAGTTTTCAAATTCATTGCCCACCATAACTTGCAAGAATTTCAACAAAATAAAAATAAAGAAAACTCTACAAACATATCAAGTATCTTACAAAAAAACATCTAAATAATACATTACCATTGCATATTTCACAGATATCCAGACTGGAAAACACTTGAGGCTTGTTTCATATTTGATACGTATTCAAAGTGAGAATAAGTTAATATTAGAGCAAATAAGTAACAATTCCATTATCTTCTCAAATGCAGGTACAACTGACAATTACATAGTCAATTTGATCTTTGATATACCAAGAGAAATGTTAATAAGAAAAAATACAAAGAGTTGCAAACTGAATAGCATGTGAGAAGAGAATTAAAATTGATAAAAATTTATTCTCTTAACCCATCTTGTTTACATCAAATGCAATGGAGATGTGTAAAATAGTAACAAAAAAATACAAATCTAGGTAATTTTGACGATGATAGCTACATTTGCTAAGTTTTCAAATTCATTGCTCACCATAACTTGTCTAGCATCATACATGAACCAAAGGAAGAGCACAAATAATTACTTCCAGTCCAGAATTAGCACCTAGAGAAAAAACACAGGTAATATAAAAAAGAAAAAGATTAAGAAAACAAAAAAGGAAGCATGTACTTCGGATCTCAGAACTCAACACATTCAGACATACGTTCATATACTTGAATTAAACAGTCAAAACTATTCAGATCCTTGATTTTTACAAGGAACGGTCGAAACAAAGACCATAGTCTATGAAATACAGAACATGTAAAATAAAAAAAATCAGACAAGAAATGACCCAAAGTGAGAACAAAAATGAGAATGCATGTTCTTTCCAACAAATTGAAAGAAAAAAGAATACAGAGCTGAAAGAAAAAAAGAATACAGAGCTAAAAGAACAACCTACTCTACATTAGCCCGTAAGCTACACTAGTTATACAACATTTTACCAGGTGCGAGTATAACACACAATGAATATGAGACTCCTGGATGCAAAATGGCACCCAAGCACTGTATCAACCACCCACTAACCTCTCGAGATCAAAACCTAGTTACCTTACTAGCAAAGAAAATGAGCACATCAATAATTTTTAAGGCTACATGAAGCTTATTCATCAATGTGGGGGTGGTTATGAGTAAGGGGAGAAGAAAATTTAGATGCAGTGACAGCTATATCTGAACAAATGACAAGTATACCTAATACATAAGCTATAAATATCCCAAACTTGAATCTACCCGATTGAGTAACAATTGGCTTAAATTTCACCTTGTTCTTTGAACACTCCGAAAGTTTTTGCCCCACTTCTTTCAGTCGTTTCTCTTCCTCCTATAGAAAGTTAACAGAAAATTAATATCACTTAACCGAAAAATGAAAGACGTACACATTATCGGTAATCAATGTTACTAAAATCTTAGACAGTACAATAGTGCAGAAAAAGTAATGTGTTCATACTCTGGTACTAGCATAACTTTCAACAATTGTTTAACCATAAACATCCAACCGTGTAGTAAATATAATCCAGAGTACATGAGTGAACTTCTAATACAGTAGCTGTTAAAATCTTGCTCAGGTTGTAAATGTTAACAGCCTGCAGCAATACATCGTAACGAGCTACGAAATTACGAACATATATGAGAGGTTCCAAAAAATACAAGCTATGTTTTATTCATCAATGCGTGTACGGAAAGCTGAAAAAAATTATAACATGTTACCGGGAATTGGTTCCTGCAATTGCCCAAGATTGTCGCCATCTCTTCTATTCATCGTGTGTGGTATTTATGATTGTAGTCATCTCTTCTAGAGACGCTACAAACTGTGAAGCCCAATATTAGCTTAATATCATCAGAAGGCGGCACTCTTTTAATAGGAAAAAAACAACAACAATACCTTGAGAAGGAACATTGTGTCAGATTTGGATAATGTAAGCGTTTTTAGGAACAAACTCAAAATCCATGGAAACTATTACAATGTAATTAAGCTATGACTATAAAAGTTAACCTAGCTAGTAAATGTTAAAACAATCTGACAAATGGTTATAGCACAAACTCAAAATCCATGCAAAGATAACTACCTGGATGTTATTTGACGAATGATATTCCAAGACCCTCATTTTGTTAGAATTGGCTTTTATTTCCTACTCAGGCAAGTTCTATCTAAAGTTTGACAAAAAAAAAAATTTCAGTTGATGAGGATGAGGAACCACTTCCAAATAGTAAATCTCTTGGATTATTTTTTAACTATGTCAAAGTAACTAGATAAACATAAAGATTTTTACCATGATCAATTAATTAGTTTCAGAAGCTAGCATGAATCCTGACACTCAGGAAATTCATGGGTGTTTAATGGAATGAACATAGTTTTTTTTTGGGTTGAGGGTGCTAAATTTACCCTTCTAAATGTGATACAACCATCATAACAGCAAGATGCAATAGAAGAAAGATTAGTCACAAGAAATTGCAGGGCAAAAAACAAAACCAGCCAAAATAAGAACTGAGCTAACATGCTGGCTAATTCAGAATCTAACAAAATCAGAAGGCCTCTTGAGATAGATTCCTTCGCCTATAAGGAGTTCCAGAACCAACAAAAGGATCTTTATGCCAGCCTACCTGCTCTTTAATGGGTCTGCAGACTAAACTATAGCATAGTCTCTGCAATTTGACAAGGGAAAGAACATTTAGAGATAAGAAAAAGGAATTGTTGAAAGTATTACTTCTTGATTCTATTATAATTGTATGATCATAACATGCAAAGGGTATTGTAGCACACTTGTTATCTCATTTCACTTCAAGTATGCCTAACATTAATCAACAAACTAGGAAGTCCACTTCAGAATGAAGTGGGCAACGGCTAAGCTTAAATGAGATCAAAGTGACTTATAAATTGACAAACAACTTGATGGAGTTATACCGAGCATAACAACACTAGAAACCACATGGAAATCTCACTAATCAAATGTATTGACTCTAATTTCTGAACGTCTTGACAAATAAATGAAATTCCAGTATTAAAAACAAAATGAATCAAATATCATTACTGACACTAGAAAACAGATTATTCATTAGCATGGATCCTAAATTCAATGTATCAAAAAAGTTAATAGGTCCTTAATTGTATATGGAACAAGGATTGGACGGTTTTAAGACATCTACCACTCTTGACGACAAATACTGCAAACATAATTGCTCATACAATATGTTTAAAAAGGTCTTCATGTCTTCAGAATTATTTCTGGATAACTTTAAGATGAGCAGTTTAACCATATGCTTAAAAAAATTCAATAACACAATCAAAAGTAAAATATGTTATGGCATAGAACTATAGCAGGTCTGTCGTAAACTAAAACTCCTCCGCAATGCAACATAAAAAAAAAACATAACAGCCAGTTTGGATGGAACACCAGCATATTACAGTCCATATTACAGTCCAAATCCTGAGAAGCTTATACCGGTAACAAGTAAATTACCAAAGGCCCAGCAGGAAGCAACATATTTTAGCCTATTGTTGGTCTCCATGCATCAAGTCTAGTATAGTAATTTATCATGTTCACACAGGTCATTTGCTGTCTTCAAACTAATAAGAGGCATACCCTGTTGATAATTGGGTCATGAACATAGTAGTTCCTAAAGCAGGATCAACTCATCCTCAACATTTTATCTGTATATATTGATCTAAATACCCTACAAACCAACAGAAACAATCCTAATAGCACACAAGAAGCCCAGCTTCGACTCCAATTGCAGGCTGATCAAGCTCCCATCAATTTACAACCAGCGTCATCAAAAATCCAAACTTTTTGACACAGACAGCTAAATACTTCAACCAACACCGAGGATGACATAAAAGAATCGAAAATTCACACTTTCAAGTGGCAAAAAAATGAAGCGAGAGGACACCTTACCAGTTCGAAGGACTCGAAGTCGGAACCCTAGACTTCGATTCGAAAACGAAACCCTAGAGAGGTGGATCGGGACTTGAAACGAAAGAGAGAGGTAGGGGGAGGGGAGGCGGCGGCGGGGGGAGGGGGAAGGGGAGAGAGAGATTTTACGAAACGAGAGAGAGGAACGTAACTTGAAACGAGAGAGAGGATCGGATCGGGATTTGATAAATGACAAGGGGTGGTGGAATTTGAAATCACTTGTTTTGGGCTTCCAAATTCTTTTTTGTTAAATCAATTGATTCAAAATCTTGGTCCAAATCAGAACCCAAACTAGAGATTTGGATTTGAAATACCCTAGATTTTAAATCCAAGCCCAAATCCAAGTTCCCAAACGCAGCCTTAATATTTATGCTGATAGTGTTGCTTAATCATTTATAGTTTTCTGTTTGTTTATTTATTTATTTTATCTATTGCAAAAAAGTTTTAATGGTATACATTCTTTTATGAGAACGCAGATGTTAAGTAGTTTGGCTTGATGGAAATCCACTGTAAATTAATGGGTTAATCTTCCATTTCAACCCCCTAATTTGATCCCTTAACCAGTCGAAATCATGTAGGGTTGAGCTTGAAAATTGGGGGCAGTAAAGACAAATTGGGGTATACTAAGCAACCTAACAAAAT